CGGGCGAGCCGTGCCGAGCCACCCGTGATGGCAGATCTACTTTTCTTTTTTAATGCTGGCAGCGACGGCCGATACTTACTGGCGGTAGCCCGAAGCCCGCGCTGACCGGCCCAGCAAAAAACCCAACCCAGTAAAAGAAGGGTCTTGTCGGGTTAAAACGATGAAGGAAGAGGTCTGAGAAATGAACGCTAATCCAGACTGAATTTAGAGGTCCTTCTACCCTCGCAAAATTCACGCTGTCTTTATTTGTTAAAGTTTCTGCTAGGCAGATAGTCCCAGTGGATCTATGGAAAAGAAATAGAAAGAAACTGACTAATGTATAGCTGAAATTTAGTGTTGTCAGAATGGCTTTTGCTGCCGGCAGCTTTTGAACGAATACAGGGCAAGAAATTAAAGCATAGCTATTTGGTATTGCTTTGCTTTGCCAGAATTGAGAGTGTGCACCAAATTAATTGTGTGAGCCGTTTTAAAAAGGTTGATTTCTTCCAATTGTATGGAGCAGTGACTCATGGAACAGATCGATCAGTGTAAGACCAGGTTTTTCAACTATGAAACACCTTCATCAGCTGTGTAGATGCTCATAGACTTTCTATGAATTTATAATGAGACAGCTATATTTGGTGTCTGGAAATGATATAGGACACTTAAAATACAGAAAAAGCTACAGAAAAAATTTCCCTTCACAGCTATATTTTTTTAAAAGTTTAAACAGAAGGAGCATTCATATTTGAGTCCCAAGATGTTTTGTATTCTAGAAATGCCTTAATCCCCTCACTGTACCAGTATTGTGCAAATGTAAATAAGCAGGACATGATTTCAACAATATCAATGTGAAAGTATGTCCCTGACTGCATACAGTACAGTCATGGATGGAGCATACTGTACCTGTGAAATACACTGGATTGGAATCAAAATAGGACTCCATTTCGCAATATAAGTTTGCATCTATTTCCCACCTCAGGCTTAAAAGAAATCAGGCCATCTCATCTCCACAGAACATAACAAGCAGGACTTAAGTGGGACAAGACATGCTTTCCTCAAGCTTTAATCAGCAAGTGCCTGGCTAGATATCCTGTCATACAGGCCCTCAGTTTCAGCTTGGCTGTGTTTGTCCTGATGGTACACTGTAAACTGCTGCACTGAAATAGAAAACAAGGAAACCCGTTGCCTCACCCGAGGTTTCCACACCTTCCTTTCATCAGGAGTCTCCTCTTCTGCCACATGAAGTTTTGTATGGCACTTCAGGCAAAGTGGGATGGTCAGCCCTCAGTCTGCTGCTTGCCATGGACGGCTGGTCTGTGTTTGCCATGTTTCTTTCCAGACACTGTATTTTCCAACACTAGGCTTCAAACTGATCACATTTTTTAGGAAGGAAGTTCTCTACAATCTGAGTCAGATTTCTAGCATCTTATCACAGAAGCCACCATCATATGCATGTGTGTCCCAAAACCTTCCCAACCAAACCAAATATAATGTTTCAGGTGGCAAAATTGTGAAGACATCAGCAGGAAGCATATTACGGCACCTGCAATAACAAGACACAAACAGCTTTCTATTTGGGAACCTTTCCTGAATTTAAGCATGCTTGGAGAGAAAATCAAGAACAATATTTTAAAACAAATATAAATAAGAAAATCAGCAAGAACAGAATGGCAAACTTCAAAAAGATGATACCTACCACCAAATGTCTAGGTCTTAAATGTAATAAATGATGTTGCTTCTCAGGACAGGATCTTGAAATGAGCTGGCAGGAGGGCTGGAAACACACTTTGTGCTTCCTTCTGTCCCCAGCTGGTTAGAAAGTTATCCCAGCAACTGGTATTATTAGCCCTTCTAACCTGTTAAGACAGAAGTAGCCCCCTCCCCTCTTTTTATTTGTAACTTTTAATGCATTATCAACAGATGAACACATTCACGTGAAAGGGCCCCCCCTTTATGTACATACATAGCCAATCTTACATTACTACCTTTTAAAAATAAACATTCCATTTGACATAACAAGGAGCCTTGAGACATTTTCAAGATGCCACAGCCAAGTATCCTTTATTATATATACATCTTAGTAACAGTGCAATTTCTGCTATTAATATTCCAAAGACACCATATACAATCATTAAGGACTTGTCTGGTTAAACAGTCTTTTTCCTTGTTTTTTTGAAGATGTCAGTCATTTGCTGCAGCACAGCACAGAACATGGAGCTTTCTATTTGTGTCCTCTTGCTTTCTTCACTGCCTGCAAGTCCCAACAATTCTTTAAGTGCATTCTAAAGCCATTTCCATGTATATATTTCAAAATTTATAGTAAAACAGAAGAAAATCATTAAGTAACATTAGACTTCTTCTCTAGCTCAGAAAGGTAATGAGACACCACCTCTTCACACCAGTTTCCTGCTGTCTTAGGTTCTCAGACCTCATGACAGGAAACTGTCATTTCACTTGAAGCAAAATGACACCATTCAGAGCATGTGAATTGTCATTTTATCTTTGTCAAAGAAGCAGTGAAAATTATGTTTTTATGCCTAACCATGGAAAAAGGTAACTATAAATTCATGGAATAGCTACAGGAAAACTAATTATTAATGGAAAGAAGTCCATTTGAAAATTGAGTAATTTTTTCAAAAGGAATTGAAGAAAAAAAACTTGTGGGAGGAACAGATAAAAAGTGTCTGGAAAAATGTAAGTTAATAGAAAATACAATAGGAAGGAAACGTAGCAGACCTCAGAAAGACCTCAAAATGACACTGCAGAAAAAGTTAAAAGTGAGCATGTGTCACGATCTGGCCAAATTTCAGATCAATAAAGTTTGCATCAATAAAGAAGCATCATTTTTACAGAAAGTAATTATTTCTCTTCTTCAGGGGTCTGTCTACTACCTCAGAATATGATTTCAATTTTGAGTTGCTATTCCTGTTTTGGGTTGCTATCCTGTGAGTATTTTTGGGTTGCTATCCTGTGTGGATTTGTCTCAGCTGATCAGAACAAATGCCATCAGCTTCATAAAATAATGTAAATTCTTAAGACATGCCTTCAGTACCCAAACACCTATGCATGTTTCACAAATTAGGGTACAGGATCGAATGGTCAAAGGTCTTCAAGGACATATATTTGTCCTTGGTATTTTCACACATCTCAGATCTGCTTTTGTTTTTTAAGGCTGAGTAATACTATAAGAAATGTATATATCATCAAATGTCACACACTTTGAATAGACAAAGTAATGCAAATATTTATGTACTATTCTGCAAGTGGAAGGTCCACAGAGAACTGAACTTGCAGTTTAAATTAATCTCCAAACATATTTTAATACACTGTACAGTATTTTTCAACCAAATATATTCCTGGACAATCTTGCCTAACTTATAAATTGTTTTTCCATCTGAAGCTGGGAGTTTCATCACGTACTGTTAAGAAAAAGAAACCAAATTAGTTACAAACCAATATTTAGATTTTATTTATAAACATCAAATTATAATGTGTAGACATACATGATACAGAATATCACACATATACATGAAAATGTATGTCTACACATGATATTTATTATTAAAACTAATGAAATACTTTCCTTCATGCCAGTGTTCAGTTTTAATTGAAGGTGATAAACATGAATTATTCCACAATGTAACCTAGCAGCATAAAGAGTGATTAATAAAAAGGTCTTAATAATCCTCTATTTATTTAAAGTTTGGTATATTAAACTTTCTAAGTATCAAAAAATCTGAGCTAGTAGAGTGCTTGTTGCATTTTCTGAAATTCATACCCTTTAGATGGAAAAAATCTGTGCTCTTAAATTAAGAAGAGATAAATTATTTTTATCTCTTCATCAGCTATGAAGTGCAACAATGACCAAATTATTTATAACCAACCATGGGATAAAGCTTACACGTGTGCATTGTGCCACTCTCCTGCTTACAAGACATTATTTTTGTTTTAAGTAAGAAGAGTAACATTTTTGTTTGAATTAAGAGGCAGTGTCACTCCCAATTGCAGTTATAAAAGTTATGTACCCACAAAATCTGCAATCCCTAGTACTGAGTGGGTAATTAATGACTGCGGCAGGCAGCATATGGCCATCATTTACAGTGAGTAACTCACTGGTAAGGTTGTAAGATGCCTGTCACATTCATTATTGATACTAACAAGATGTTCCTTTGGAAAAATGTTTGGAGAAAATTAAGCAAGACAGTGTTATGTCTACAGCTCAAGTCCTCTGTAATGAGAACAAAACTTGAGATGCTGCAAGGTCTTGGAATATGAGGAAAGGGCATCAAAGGATATTAAAATCAAATGAGCAAGTACCATGAGTACATAAGCACTTGTATGCTACATGCTCAGAATCAACAGAATCAGTCTTCCTTAACAGATGCCCTTAATTTGAACTGAAAAATGGGTAAAGGTCACGTGATGTTAACCATTTACCATAGGTCTGGGCCTATGCTTGTATTTAAAAATTCAGCAATCCCAAGTGCTCTGATGAGATTGATTCTCACTTTCTCTGTGCCCCAAAATTCAAGTTTAAAAAACAAAACAAATGTCAAAGAGCACATCTTGTGCTTCTAGGAAAGCAAGGCACATCTGAATCAAGGGCCTCCAACTGGAGTAGGAGAGTCCCAATAATTATTCTGACTAGCATCTCCTCTAGTTATTTAAGCTTTCTAATAATTTCAAGTAGTGGATACTTTGTGAACAGATGCATGACTATATCTGCTCTCTCTTCAAAACTGAAATGTGATTTCTGAGAAAAACTGAGTTATTTTTGTTTGGTAAACATGAAAAGAGTGGTTTTGAGAAAAGAAACCCTTAAGTCAGTAGCTCACTCAACCAGATTATTTCCTGGGCATTCAAAATGAAGACATTCTTGTAGGGAAGACTACCTTTAAAGAAAAAGTTAATTCATCTACTATTTGATCTCAACAGAAAATGCTGTTGCTTGAACTACTTTGAGAGTGAAAAGAAGGGATAAACAGCCAACAGCACCTCATGCCCTTGATGAATCGGGTGGAACAAAATTGGAGAAATGTACAAATCAATGATGTATGCTAATAACCAAGAATTGAGACAATATTTAAAAGCTGGTGCAGTAAGTACCATGTTGGTAAAGTTTCTATGGCATTCTGCACAAAATAAGCCCAAAGAGAACATCTTCTGAACTTTACTGATGACTGTATTCATGCCACTCTCACCAATTTTCCTTGAATAAAAAGCAGGTTGTCATTACTATTACAAAACTTCAGTCTCACTTGTTCAGCTAGTACCTAGTACACATTCTATCAGTAAGATAAACAGAGGGTCTAAGCTGAAAAAAATACACTAATTTCATGTTGTTATTCAGGCTGGTAAATGGTGAAAATCTGCGACAGCTGTAAATTCATGTAATTATTTACTTATAAATAGACAGTCCTGAGTGCAGTCATGTATTGTACAGGAAGAAATATTTTCCTCAGCTTTGGCTGAGTAACGTTTCCATATGCACATGCCATTACAGAAACAATACTTCACCTTGTTCACTAAGAGTAAAGGCACAATGTAAAAACACTAAATTAAACACAGCAGCTCTACTTAGGTACTGTACTAATCAGCAATTGCAAAAATTTAGACTGCATGATTTTAATCATATCTGTAGCACATACACACAAAAATATGCAAAATATTTAGCATAGGCAGAAACTTAAATGTAAACCCATAAAACACTACATTCATGCACATTTAGGTATGAATTTCAGAAAATACAAGAAGGTATTAATGCTAGCATTAGGAATGTATTCTATGGTATGTTTTGAATAAAAATTTAAAGGGATATGCATTGCAGTAATCTGAGCTTTAAGCATTCAAATACTTAGTCAAATATTTTCTAAAAGCTTGTGAATACTGTACAATCATTCTGCATATTACTCTACTTTAATTTGTCTAATGGACAGCTACTGCAAAAAATTGCATTTTTTCCCCTAGAAAATAATGCACTAAAATATTATGAAAAATAATGCATAGAACATAAAAATAAAAATGACCCTCCTTCCACCCTTTATCCACAACTTACACACTTTTCCTTCTTTTTCCAGCTTTTTCAAGTGGACTAAGAGGTTATGTTCTGCTGCCGGAAGTAAATTCTCAGGGATTTCCTAATGGGAACAAAAAAATGCATTTTGTATTTGTTTAAGTACTCAGCAACTATTTTTTTCAATATATGGAACCAATGGTTTATTACCACAGATTTTCCGCTTCTGAATCAGTATGGGAACATTCAGTTATGTAACAACAGGAAACTAAGATGAGTAAATCAATTTTACACCAGTTAAATGGGCAATCTAACAACACATTTTTGTTCACTTTGCTTGATTTTTTGCATTATACATTTGTGTGATGAAAACTTTGGCCAGCGCTCCTCCTCTGAGCTTGGTTTGTCCTGGGTTGTCGGCACAGGTGAGTATTTTTAAATTGTGAACCTTGAGAATACTTTGAAAGCATACACATTTTTTTGTACTATAAAGCTGTAATAGTACTGAAAAAAATTCTTACATAGGCAGAACAAGTGGTTTGTGATTTACAGAAACAGAAGAATGGCTCTATACTTAAAACCTAGTTCATCAGGCAGGAGAACTGCAGAAGCTGAATGGCCATAGGTAATGGTACATCAGCACTGTAAAATGTTCACGGTGATGCAGGCATTCTTTCTGAAACTAGGTATCAGCAGAATCATGAAAAATGAGCTGTGAAGCTGTTACAGACCTGCTCCCAAGCCACAGATGTTGGCAAAGCAGAAATACTGTATCTCGTATCGCCACTGGTTAGGAGGGTAACCCCACACCACAGGGAAAAATTGCGGAGGTTACATGAAGGATGTTGAAGTAGCAACAAAGTACTGTTACACCAGTCTAAGGACACATACAAGCTGTCCAACATCAGAGCTGCAATATCCTTTGTGCTGTGGAACTGCAGTTCACCTGTAACCTGCAGACTCATAAATCAGGAACTCCAAGTTTTCAACCATTCTTCAGGAGACCCCAAACACACTTTGGGAAATCCACAACCAACAGTCATGTCATACTTTTCACTTTGAACCAAGCACTACAACTTAATTTTTACTTAGTCTTACGAAACTGTTTTTAAGCACTTGTTTAAGCACCTAATTGGAGTGAGGCCCACATGATTCTTAGAAACTTGTTTAACTATCCAAGTCTTAGGCACAAAGTTATAATTGAACCCTGAACAGGCAGAAATATTTTTTATCCCTTTCAAAGAGCCACCATGATTTTCACTCAAAGACCACTGCTGTTACATATAAGTTTTATGAACCTAACCTCAATTTTCTTTAGTTTGATCTAAAAACTTTTGATCAACAATTACCTTGTATACCATCTTTACAAGTTCTGAGGATGTGTATGATTTCCCAGTATTCTTCTGGAAAACACTCAGAATTTGCTGTTCACGTGCAAGGCGGTGAGAAATGTAGTTTTGGATTCTAGTATTTGCATCACGTACTACTGGGCCATGACCTAAAAATCAAAACACATGTACCAGAGCACTATTACTTACATTTGTAATTAAGTATGCTATTGAATAATTGAAACATTCTTATGTAAACTCTAGTAGATTTAAAAGCCATGAGAAAAAGATCTGAATGTCTGTATTGCAGTCTGCATCTGCAAAGAATTAAGATGGAAAGGAAAAATTAGGATATTAGAAGTCTGAACAGGGAAAAGGGAATACTTCAGATGGAATAAAGAAAGCAAGGGAAGACTACTTTAGGGCATTAGAAAAAAGGAAAGGAGTTCACTGCTGAACAGATTTAAAAGATGAGATTTAGATACTGTATTATCTCTGTTTGCCCAAAGGATACTGACACTAATGATTTAAACTGATACTGGCCTTTGAACAATAATGGCTGACGCAAAGGACTCAGTTACTACTGTACCTCCCATCCTGTTGGGGCAAACATCAAGGTGACATCTTTAATTGTAACAGGTAATTTTCCCAAACAAATCTTCACACTAGGTTATGCCTTTAAAAACACTGTTGTGAGTATGATTAAAGAAATGAATAGAGAACAAATAAGCAAGGCAGTTGGAGTGTATCAGGGTAGGAAAAATAGAAGGCACAGGAAAAGTTATAGGTGGATCATTTAATGTCTGGCTGGTTAATAAACAAAACATATTTTTTCCTGGACTGACTGTAGCAGAACAGAAATGTTCAACTTACTTAAAGGTCTTTGAATTACATTATGAGAAGGCTTAATTGGTAAATCACTAACCTTTATGAAAAATCAAATACTGTCTCACAGTACATTAAAATGACAGAGAAAATACTGTTCAGCCACGAGAGTTACATGCATGGAAATTAAACTTATTGTGTTATTTATAGAGGAATTGACTTGCACAAACATTCATCACATGCTTTTTATAGCAAGGTTTCCTATTTCTTTGCCTGTACAACTCACCTGAAGTAGCAGCAGCAACTTCCAGCTCTGCCCTCTGAGTGCAAAGTCTAAGTATTTTATAAAATTAGTAGAGAAGAAACTACTGTAAAAAACAATAGCTTTCTTTTAGAAGCTATTTGGTATCATCAAAATCAGTTTCTTTTGAGGTTCTCTAACTATTAAAAGAATCTCTGTATTCTTTACTTGTACTTTTGGTTTACTGATTAAATGGGTTTTTAAGCTTTTAAAATCAAAGCTTATTTTGCCTGACAACAGACAGCTTATAGAAAAAGACCAACTGATTTTTCATGTTTTGAACTAAAGTGTCAAAGGAATCTATCCTTCTGTAAGTCAAAATATTTATACATCTCAACTTACTCATTTCAGCATGTTTGAAATTACTAAGTATACACTGAAACTCACCTTGTTTAAGTAAGTATTATAAATACAAGATATGTAATGTGTAAACATAAAGCTATACTGGCATATGCATTTATATTTAATGATTTCAAACATATTTAATATGATTTTCCCTTCAAAATAAATTACAAGTATAACAGTATCTCTACTATTACCATTTATGCACCCAAAACTTAAAAAAAACTTTAGAAAAATATAGTAAGATATACAAAGCAGAGACTGTAACGTCAACTGTCCATTCTCTTACATTCTCTAATGACAGAAGTCTCACTGAAGTAATCAAAACTAAGGGTTGCACATGGAATCCCAAGGCATCCTTAAAACCTGGCCCTACTCTTCCAAGTGATTTAATTGACTTAGACTACAAGACCAATGCCAGAACCTGAAATGGAACCCACATTTTGCAAAGTTAAAGGGACTTCATCTCCATTACATCATCTGATCTGCAGCTGTTGTGTATGCATATATGTACATTAAAATGATCTCAGAAAGCTTGGAAATAAATCCAGATGTGGGACTTTCCCATCCATTATTTTTCAGGGACATCAGTAGTTATTTATTTATTGACAAATAAATAGATTAATAGCTGAATAAAAGTAAAAAGTTTCTGACCATATGAAAAGCACTCTCAAAATATGACTGTCTTTCCATGAATTCAGCTTTAATTTCAGACAGATTGATATTATTTCCTCATAACACATTGTGAAGTGTCAGACTCTCTTACTTTAAATTACAGCACAAAGGACAGAAGTGAAGGAAACAATTGGCTCATTAAATCTTCCACAAATTCCTAATTTTGGCACCATTTTTTCTGTATTACCAAGGAAAATTGTCTATTATTACAGGATGGGGAGCCCTCTGCTGACTAAAATGCCTTTTCTTGTTCCAAGGATTCTCATCAAACATTATCTGCAATTAGATATCATGAGTGTTGTGTCTAAGTCATTCCCACATTAAATTAAAAAAGAAACACAGAAGGGGAAGGATTGACAAAATTCACCTACTCTCAGGTAGCCAGCAGTCAGTCTGTTACAAAAATTCGTGCAATTCTGAGGCTACCATAGGAGTGCTGAAGCATTGGTGGAGGAAACAGTTCAAGAATTATGAAGACCTAATACTGCAGCACAGAGTGATTGACTTATATAGAATATATTGATAAAGGAAACTACTTCTGCTGTAGTTATACCAAACAGTATCACCAATTGTTCTGATTGTGCAATAGCACTTTTTGCACAATTGCATGTACATTTTGTGGTGCATGGATGAAAAAAGTCAGCTCCAAACCATCTCAATACTTAGCTATCATCACTGAAAACACACAATGTCAGACTGGCTTCCTAATTGCAAGTCCAGTAAGAACACAGACAAAACAGTAGCAAACCCAAGTAAAGAGTACAGATGTTCAGCCTTGGTGAATGTGTAATCTAGATACAGAACCACTAAGAACAGAGTGAAATGCAACAGATAAAATTGATAAACCAAACAGAATTTGACATATATGGGGTTTTGGAAGGCAGAAATTCAGTTAGAGGAACAGACTGCATTTTGCAGTTATTAAGAAAGAAAAAAAGTAAAACATTTGGTTGAGATTCTGAAGGCTAAAAAATGGTTAGTTTTAATGGTTAGTTAAGTCAGTTAAATTGGTTAGTTGAGTTAATAAATATGACCAAGACACTATTCTGTCTACATCAACCTCCACATCTATGGAATATGTAAGAATGCTTTTCTTAAACAGCATTTTTTTCTGAGATCTTAAAGGACACATACTTCAAAAGAAGGCTATTTTAAGAGTGAACACAAGAGAGTAGGCTAAACGTAGATGGGTAATGGAAAAAGGCACAACTGAGAACATAGATACAGTAGCTTGGAATGACAAGTTGAAGATGAAACAGAAAAAGTCAGAAAAAAATCCTGAGATGTAGCTCTGAAAAAGCAAATGAGGAGCTTAAAGTGTAGTTACATAATGAATTCTTAAAATGTAGTCTTGTCAAACAGACATGTGGTATATATGAAAAGTGAATGCATTCCCAATGTTTGAATGAGAGAGAGGAAAAGAATTGAAGGAAATCCATATGAATGAACAGACAACTTATTTTTAGGACCTTCTGGCCTCCTGGTTCTTGTTCAAATTGTACCTAAATAATTTACTAAGATTATCACTTTACAGTTCTGCAGCTTTCCAAGATGAATTTGTGATTAGTCTGTACTGCAAGGGACACACAACTCTCAAAAAACATTACTAGGTTACTCACACTGACAGTGTATGTGGGGATGAAAAGGAACAAAAGAACAACTATTATTTTTTCTTCCAGGATAACATTCAAGCACAGGGATAGAGTAATATAAGAAAATTAAATCTGCTGTATGATTCCAGCAGTGAAAGATTATGGCTCCTGGAGTCTTTGGGCACAGAAAGACAAGACCCACCCTGAAATAGAGAAATTTAAGAAAGGAAGATACCTATCACTGAAAATTTTCAAGTTTTGCAAAGCACCATGACAAAGTCAGCTTAGCTTACTGTTTATTAAATTGAATTGTTACACCAGAAGTGATGTTTGATTGTACTAATGGTTCTCAAATTCTTAGAGGAGATTTTTACAAAATTACACAGTTAAAAGGAGCAGTTAAAACTAAAGCCACTTACCTGGATAAATCAAATCTGGTTTCATTTCTAGCAACTTTTTCAAAGTCTTCATGTAATCAGATAGATCTTCTATTACTGTTGTTCCTTCCCCTAAAATACAGTCACCCGAAAATACAGCATTTTCTTCTTCTAGATGTAAAACCATATGATCATCAGTGTGTCCTGGTGTATACAAAACTCTGTTCAAAGAACAAAAAACGTGTATGTTTTTCATAGAGCATATATGCTTCATTTTTGAAACCAGAACAAATTATGGTAAAATAATACACTTGGCAAAGCAGCCCATAACATGAACAAGAAAAAACTGACCAAAAAAGGCTGAAAAGTTGATGTAAACAAGTATCACTTTGCCTAATCCCAATCCATTTTCTTACACCATCTAAAGAACACCAATCACCCTAGCATGCTTTTACTTACATGACACACCGTAAAACAAGGGCATTAAAGGAGCTGACTAGCCATGTATTATTTCTGTTATAGAGGGCATTATTCTGAAGCTTTAAAAAAATCAAATTGAATTTATTTTTTCCAGATTGAAACAATTGAAGTTCTTGACATACACGTTGTACTTTGGAAGGAAAGTAAGGATGATATCTTTCATTTAGCAATTAACTACAAACTTCTGAACCCCACCCAGATAAAGTTCAGCCTCCAAAAATGTATTTTTCCTTGAAAGCCCCATAGCACGGTGGAGCACAGCTGTCAAATAGAGAGAACCATGGTCTCTCAGCTGTTCTCTGTGCAGGTCATTAAACACCTGCATGGTAAGGATTAAGGACCCACAGCTTGGACAAGCAGTGTATAGCATGCAGCAAAGGGACAGTGGGTATGTATAGAGTACATGGTAACCTGAGCTGCCAAGGAGCTGCACTGGAGTGGCCTTTCATGATGATTTCTGAAAAGCAGAAGGGCCTTATGCTGAGGCTGATGCAGACTGAAAATAACACAACTCCAACCAGCATCATTGCTGATATTCATTAGAACCTTCTTGCTAATGGCAGATGCATCAAAGCAGTGATCAGGAAGTGACAGAGCTGGTGCCAAGTGTGGTGTACAGGGCAAGGTTAAACAGCTCCCAGCCAAGCTGATGTAGGGCTGGGAGACCACGAGTGCAGCATCATCTGCTGCAATGACTTCCAGCTCCTACTGAATACTGAGCTCAGGAGAAAGCAGGTGAGCCATCGCCATGTGGAGGCAAATCAAAATCAAGCTGATGGGCTCACCTTTGGGACAGGGAATCCTTTAGTTCTGGATGAAATTTCACTAGGAAGCCAAACCACTAACATAAAAAAATAGCAGAAAGAGAACACCAGACAGTGTGTGGAGAGGTGCTGCCAGCACGTCTTGCCCCCTTGCTGTAGCACACCTTGAAAACCTGACAGTTGTTAACTAAAATTTAACATGCAGGTACTGCAGTTTTGGAACCAGTGGTGGGTCTAGGAGTATCCTTGAAGTGGTTACTGAATTAATCCAGGTGAGAATATGTTGGAATCCATAAAGTCAGAGGGTTTTTAGGAAATGGTTAAAAAAGAGTATGTAGGCCTTAGGCTGAAGTTCTGTTACAGCAGAAAAGTTTCCCAAGCAGTAGACGTGACAAATAACAATAGGACTCTGTAGATTTGGCTTTAGGATGGCAACAAGTTTATTTAATGTATATCTTTAGAAGATTACTATGAATCTTCTGTTCTTTGTCTCTTATGAAATAGTCTTTGTTTTAACTACCATTACGTATGTTTTACAAGATTGGATGGAAGGCTTGTCAATATGTCTTGTTTTTGTATGATTGGCTGAAATCTAGACTGAGATGATTTTATGTCCTTCTGTATTACCCCACCTTCTGAGACATTTCCCTGTAGACCAGCGAGCTGTTAACATCTATCTCCATTGTAACAATGTTCTGAGACTGATGAGCCAACAATAAAAAAAGGCTTTTCCCTAAAAAGCTTTTCCCTAGTCTAAATTTGTCCAGTGTTATCCATATTTAGACTTTTTGCCACAGCAAGTAAATTCCTCTCTTAAAACGTAAATTCCTAACACCATTAAACCGCTAGCTACCCTTTACTCCAATAAGAATACTTGTTTTTAATCAGCCATAAAGTTTGGCTGCACTAACCCTGTTACAACTCACCCATAGGGGCTGTGATGTTTGGTATAAATTCTCTTCAGGATCAACAAGAACACCAGACTATATGTCTGGGAACTCACATGCTTCTGGTATAAACAAGCCCACTGTTTGGTCTCAGAAGTGCTGGCTAAGAAGCCCTTCACTTCGAGGACACACTTCAACAAGCTCCCAAATGTCGCAACAGACTTCTCCCAGGTGTTGGCTACAAGCCCTGTATTTTACAACACCCCTCAACAAGCTCTGAACTCCCACACCAGCACAGCCAGCCTGTTTGAGCCCTCCAGGCTCCAAGCTGGGGTGGGGAACTGGTGGAGGCACTGTGAATCTGAAGGCAGAAAGGCAGTTGGCTCAGGACCATGCTGCTCCCTCTCCAGGAGCTAATCCTTGACTCACTTGGATTGAAATTAAAAAAAATTATTTTCCATCTCCAAATTTTTGTCCAAACATGGGCCACTTAGGGCAGTGAAAGGTCTTCTGTATGCAATGTAAAATGCTTTTCACTTCTATTTTTACACTAATAAAATAAAATGCTTTTGGACAAAACATACCCCTTTTCTTTTTAAATGTTTTTTCTTGCAATCAACCAAGCGACATAGTCTACAAGTGGGATATAGTTCCCATCTAAAATGAGGAAAACAAGCAAACTTTGTCCTTATAAGAATAATGCCTTGTTAGTGAAAGGAGCCTGAAAACAGAATGGTCAGACCTTTTAATTGTGTGTGTGCTTCCATGAAGCACAGTAGCTTTCTGTTTCGCACTCATTCAGACTAACATTATAGACAGTACACGCCACAAAAAGAAGTCCTCCAAAACTGGCACCCTACAAGAACCTCACAGGTTCAAGGTCTAAAATGTAACATTTTAAGTATTAAATGTTTTAGAGTCTCCTAGAGATGTATTTTTAAAGTAAAAAGAAAGGCATGCTAAATAATCCAGCCAGACTACTACAGACTTCCACAATTTAAAAAGTAACTAATTATGTAAGAGTGATGAGAAAATATGTGAAATCCTATTCGATTTTCCTGCAGAAAGTGTTTTTCTAGGTAAATATTTTTAATTTCTCTGCTGAGTCTAAAGACAAAATCCAAAGGCTAATTTCTGATAATTCTCATTCATAAAAACAGTGTCTTTGTATTAACATATCCTGCTGGATCATGATAGGAAGTCTACATGCATAAGTGCTGAAAAGATTAGATGTATGGATTGGCAGTCATTAGAAATCAGGATACACATACATGTCAGAATTCTGAAGAAAAAGAACTTGAAGAAATTCATGGTTACCTGAGTGTGGCTCCCTCTGTCTCTACCACATCTCCATCTTTAAGATAAAAATATTTATGTCCTCCTTCTATAGTTTCTTCACAGTGAGGGACACGAGGGAGCTTACTTATGCGGTATTCCGAGTCTGATATGTAAGGAGAGCAAGAAAAATGATGTTTTCAGTTTGTCACTAACAAAGGTAATTAAACAGACAGATTACTTTTTGAATAAGTACTATTAATTATCATACAGTATGAATACAAATCTAAAACAAAACAAATCCTGTAAAGTAACTTTATATTTGTAGAGCAGCCTTATTCCAGAGCCAAAACCACTAAACAGTGAAAGTCACTGATCGTGAATACAGCACTCTGTACCAGTGACAGATTTGAAGTTGGAAAAAAACCACAATTGAAATAATAAAGATCAGTAATTATTATATTTCACAAATATTTCTTCTTGACTCATGAGCCAATTCCCCTAAGTTTTTACAATGCCACTAAGATTTTGGCCCTCATATTTTGCATTATGAGTCACAGAAGCATCTCTCAACATTTGTCTAAAATTGAATGAAGACTTTTTGACCTGCAACTTCTCTCAACTTTTGTCATTCTGAACAGTGCACAAAATGCAAACACCTTGGCTGGAACAGCTATAGATAGGAACCCAGAAAGGCATTCATATCTCTTGCTAGTCTTTCCAACCCCACTGATAGGCTGGCAAGCCCAAAAATCCTCACCAAGACACCAATTGTTTTCAGTAGTGCCCAGGCTTCATGGCAGATAAGCACCTGGCAACTTTACAAAATTAAGCCTGTGACAAAGCTTGTGACAAAGTCCAACAATGTTAAGAATTACCACATTATCCATACTGCTTATTCTCTTCTCAGATGCCAACACAGAAATGTCTCTTATATTTTTAGGTCAGACTTTACTTGTACACTGCCCTACTGCCTTCCCCTCGTGCTCTGAGGCCTATGAATTTGTCAGCAACTAATGGGCTCTTCTAAGGAATCCCAAAGTTATGTATGCTTCTTTTAACAATTCAAGCTATTTGTTTTTACAAAAGTGAAAATAACAATAAATTCATAATTGTCGTCCAAGTAAAACAGAAGTAGTATCAAGCTTTTCTCACATCTCTTAGTACCATGCTGATAATATCTAGGTTTTCGTTATTCACACATAAGGAAAATTCACTATGAAAGTATGCACAGGTATTGAAGAAAACCTGTACTTTTCTACAGCTGTTACATTCAGATTATTCATTGCTCTCAATCTACACACTGCAGCAGAATCATGAAATTGCATATAGTTGATACTGCAATTCCAGAATAATAATCTAGTTGATTTGCACAAAAATATTTGGTTAATGTTTTTCTTGCCATGTATTAAACATTTTTAGCAATATCTGAAACTTCTGGCCTACCACTTGGAATGTCTTTGCAGATATCAGGTATTCCACCCGTATGATCACGATGCCAGTGTGTCACTAAAATTTCTTGAATGGAGATGTTGAACTCTGACAGTGCCTGCTTTAAACAGCTGATATATTCAGGAATAGCTGGCTCTCCAGTGTCAATAAGGACTCTTCTACACATGGATCACACAAAAGGGAGGGAGAGACACACCAGAGAATAAAGAGTGTTCATGTAACAGCCAAGTCATATTACTAAAATAAGCCAACAGATAGAAATTTAGCAATATTGTATGTCTCCATATCCAGACAATACCTTTTGCCTCCTGGCATTCCACCCCAGCAGCATAACAATTTAAAAAGTGGAAAAAGTACTAAATGTAGGCCACACCTTTCCAACTCCGCGACAAGTGGCAGAAGCCACGTTTAGTACTGAGGTACACACCCGCTTCCCTCACCGAATTCCTGGCCTCGGCCCAAGGGCGGCACGGACCAGACTCCATAACCCACCCGCTTAAGCCGCCTCCCAGCACCAGCTCCTCCAAGGTAACGCTGTACGGTTTCTTTCCTCTTTTTAGCGCTGACTAAGGGATTTGGGAACAGGCCGCTAGCGGCCTCTCGAGCTGGAGGCAGCGCAGGGCCCCGGGGCAGCGGAGTCCGGTGCGCCGCGCCCTGCCCCGCTCTCCGAGCCGGCTCGGTACCTGCGCCCGGAGCCCACCAGGTAGGTGTTGGTGCCCTGCAGGGTCATGGGCCCCGGGTTGCAGCCCAGCACCCGCACCACCCGCGACGAGAGCCGCTCGATGCGTGGCAGCAGCGACACCATCTCTGCAGAGAACTGCCCCGAACCACCGGCTCCGCTTCCCTCACGGCGCCGCAGGACAGAACCCTCTATGGCAGGACGGAACCCTCTATGGCAGGACGGAAGCCTCTGTGGCCGTGCTCCGCCTCCCGGGGCTGGGCCGCGGCGCCTCCCGCCCGCCTGTGGGGCGGCTCCTTCCGTTCCCCGGCAGTGCGGGCCGGGCCGCGTGTGCGCTAGAGCCCGGCTGCTAACGGTAGATCCTGTGGTGATGCTGTCGGATAAAGTTCTCCCGTGTGGAGGAGGCCATTTCTCGGTGGAATTCAGTTCTCCGTGCCGGCTCGGTGCCTCCCTGCTGCCCAGTGAGAGGCACGGACGTGCCCTGCCGGGTTTTCTAGAGAAATTTGTTGTAAGAGACAGATCCACCTTCTCTGTATCCCAGGAACGCGCCTGCTTACAGGGGATGCAGGAACTGCGTATGCTCCCGCATGGCACATGGGAGTTATATAGGATTTAGCATTTTTAATAAAACTGGAGAGCGCTGGAGAGTGTCCAGCAAAGGGCCTCTAAGGGACTGGAGCATCTCTTTTGTGAGGAAAAGCTAAGAGAGCTGGGACTGTCCAGCCTGGAGAAGAACAGGCTCAGGAAAATCTGATTTAAAAAAACCCCAAAAAACAAGACAAACAAAAAAATCCCTCCAAAACAAACCCACAAAAACCCCCTAAAAAACCAATCTCTAAAAGCTAATAAAACAATCTCTAAAAGCCTGAAGAGGAGGTGTGTAGTGGGCAGAGCCAGGCTGTGTCACAGGGCAATTGCCTCAGGTGCTGTCATGGTGCCCAGTGCCAGCACCAGAGGCGATGGGCACAAACGGGAACATGGTGTGTTCGTTCTGAGCATCAGGGAACACTTTTCACTGTGTGGGTGACCAAGAGCTGGCACAGGGGGGTTGTGGGGTTTGCATCCTTGGTGATGCTCAGAACTCATCTGGACACGGACATCTGGCTCTAGGTGGCCCTGCTTGAGCTGGAGGCTTCAAACATGAACTCCAGTGGTCCCTCTCCAGCTCAGCCATTCTGTGATTTTGTGAAATTGTGTGACTGTCATCCACGTAGAAATAATGTGTTTGCAAGCAGTGTTCATTGTAGATCCTGCAAGGTGCTGAGATTTAGCTGCTTGATTTTGCAGGGTCTCCTCTGAAACCCCTGTTTAATTGCCTTTCAAGTGACATTGTTAAAGAAAATAGGTCAGACTTGTTCTCTCCTTAAACTACATATAAATGAAGAATAAACATAATTTAACCTGAAATAAAAGCAGGTGATGTTACTGCAGTGATACAAGTTTGCTAATATTAGAATTTCAAATATTATCTGATTGTTTTATATGTACATAGAATCTCATGTGGTACCTGTTATAAGATGATCATAGCAATATAAAACCACAACCAGGAACTGTACCACTGATGCTGATAATCAGTATATTTAGGCCTTCAAGCAATTTCCTGGATTTTTCTGATAAATCTTTACTTATTTGAGATACCATTTACTTATTTTTTTTAATTTTCATGCTCATTAAAACATGAACTACAGGCAACAGAAGGGATGTTTCAGGTCAAAGGAAAGAAGCTTTTATGTGTGCAGGGATGTTGTTGAAATAATAAAAAAACCCCCATACACAATATTCTACTCTCCCCATATAATTTGCCTGTATGCTCTTTTGTAAGAAACTGTGACTAGACCTGAATTTACCTAATCCTGAGCTACCCTCTTATGCTACTTTTGTAGCATATTTGTATAGCTATTAGTACATTCAACCTATTTTCAGTCTTCAGGTAAAGTTTAGTTTGGTCATTAGAAAAAGCTACTACCTAAGCCAAGTTGTATATTTAAATGGTTTTCTATTTTTAAGAAAGTTTTGAATGTTTAGAGAGGGTTTCCAAAATTATATTATTTTATATGTCATTGACAATTCAGTTAGGTAGCATTATTTTTAACATGACAAGACCTTTTTTGTTTCCCTCCCTCAAATTAAGAAATGTTTGGGGAGCTGTAGACTTGTTCTCCAGGGAATACTTGTTACTCCTCTTGGTGTCCTGTAGTAAAGCATTTTCTGATGTTAGGCAGGAGCTGTGAATTTGTTTTATCTGTAGGTGGCAGCAATGGTGCCTTTGGAGAACGAAGTACAGGTTCTTTGATCATCTCCATTTCCTGCACAAGCCCATCTGTTAAAAAAATCTCTTGTTTCTCTTTTAATACAGAGGTTAATAGGCATGTAGTGAAAGTCCTGGTATTATGCTCTGATGTGATATGGGAAAAGATGAATGTGTACCCTCAAGTTCTTTTGGTTCTCTCACTGTTTTGCATTGTTAAATTTTTGAGGGGAAAAATGTTCTGAAGCAGGTAAGCTACCAGTAAAAAAACCAAAACCAGGTGAGTTTCCTAAATAATAAATAAATCTAAAATTAGATTGTTGGTGATATACAATGATTAATTTTGTAACAACTATGAGATACACAAGACATAGACTGTTATTTCTGAAAATCCAGCAAAGTTCAAATTTTTAGCACTCAAGGAGTCTTTGAGTATTGGCATTTGGCTTTTTTTCCACATTTTAAGTGTAAATGTTGAGGATAAATGCCTCTCCACTGTGGCTGTGTCATAGCTTAATAGAATAGCACAAGCATGTAATTCTGCAATAATTAGCCATAATCAATCAAATAGCAGATAGAAGATGTCTTGAGAGACTTATCTTCATAGCCATTGGCGCATGAATATCTCAAGATGATTTTTTTTACTTGCAAAATTTTCCTTTCTGTTTCATTATATTTATTCTTTTTATCTGGTACAGGGATAAGTAAAAAGACCTTAAACTAAAAAGAAGTGAAGCAGATTTTGCAGAGAGAAAGGCCATGGGCTGCAAGATTCCTGCATGGAGGGGCAACACTGTGTAGAGAATGTAAAATAGTCACATCAGCAGGTTTGTGGGAGATGATTTGGGGGGATGATGACGGGCCTGGGACATTTCCATAATAAGGAAAGGCTGAAAGAGCTGGTACTGTCCAGTCTGGAGAAGCCTCATGAATGCCTAGAAATACTTTAAGGGTCCTTCCTTCCACATTTGGAAGCAAATAAAAGGCTATATACCAAATGCCATAGGAGATTTGTCACAATTTAGAATTATGCTTGCTTTGATGCCAAATTTAACCAGAAAACAAATAAATCATCCAGCCAGTAATTTATCTTGTGGGTTGCATGATTTACACTCCAAGAATCCTGCATGCAAACTTTGCCCCTCCGTCTGTGCCATAGAGTTTTGAAATTTTTTTTATTATAACAAAGGTCATAGCAGTGAGTTTGTGGACTGTTTAGGACTAAGTTGTTTCTAAAGTGTAAGGGAGAAGCAGGAAGGCACGCAAAAAATGACAAGGGTTGATATCATGTTTGTTATGAAGACACTGAGGATTGTACCTCCTGTCCTAAGAGCTAGAAAAGGTACAGACTGAGGGTGGGCACCATCCTGTGTAGCACAGTCACAAAGGCAGGATCAAACTCTGCAAATGTTTTAAACATGCATAAAAACATCCAGGTTGAGTAACAACAGCTCAGCTGGAGCAGACTCTTGCAAACACTTGTAGTTTTACAGAGGAAAATAATTTTAATCACCTGTCCTTGGCCACATGCAGTCTCTTCATGCATAATTGCACAGAATGGATTTTTTTTAAGGGCATTGTACTACATTTTTTAATTATAGCCAAAAAGATTGTTCTTTTTGTATAAATCTTTAGGATATATGCATGGGTGTACTAATAAATGAATGAAAAAAAAATATATAAGTGAACATCTGCATATAATCACACACACATACACTTGTGCTTCTAGAAATATCTATTGACTTTTGCTCAACAGGTCCAATGAACTAAAGTCTAAATTTGAAAATGAATACACAGATACAGAAACATACAGGGGCAGAGTGATACTTTTATTTTTCACTTTGAGGAAGTAAATTGTTAAATTATTTTATTGAAGAGAAATTTATAATCTGTTAAAGTTAGTATTTATTATTAACAGGGACTTCTCTATAAAACTTTTAGAATACAATTTTTATAATACAATCATTAGAAGGACAGATAGCAAATCATTAACTGTGTCACATGGTTTCCATATGATTTGAATTTCACTTTGCGTTGTATCAGCAAGCCCTTTAATTTCCTTGGATTGCAAGTCTTGTAAAGGTATGGATGGGAAAGCCATGAATATGGAAATCTACAGTTTTTGAAGTGGAAAAGACCTCTATCCATGGCCATTATTAAGGTAACTGCATTTTAAAATAGAATTTTAAATATGTAGTGAGACCTGAAGCCTTTCTAATCAAATTTTATTGTTTCTGTTTTATCACAAAAAGATTCTGTATCACAAATTGATTCAGTATGTTAGTTTTTAGAGGGGACTTATATTTATGTTGACTGACAGTTTACTGTTCCTGACCCTGTCATGTTAGATATCATGTGTTTAATAACACTGGGGACAATTTGATTCTGATTGATACAAGACACGCTCTCCTGTGGCACTTAATTGAACCCCACCTGGTACTGAGACCATGGTGCTCTTTGGAGTACTATCATGCATAAAATGTAGGGCTATTAAAGGTTGGGATCTTCAACAGTGATTTCATGTGCACCTGTGAGCAGGTGTTGGTGCTTGGATTTGAAATTAAGACAATGGACATTTGTGATTACAGATTTGTGAGTCTTGGGTAGAATTTTTTTTAGGTTACCATGAGCAAAATATAAACCTTGTGTCTTCTCAGCTGTTCCAAGGCTCGCTCAGGACTGGAATCCTTATTCAAAATAATTGTGAGACAGCAAGCAAGCTGACATGCTTGATAATGTGTGGCTCTTTATTTATCTCAACTAACCTGGTGGCTTCAAATAGCTCCAAGATGTCCAGACAGGTCTGCAGACTGCTGACATGACAGCAGTTTGGACAACAGGCTTGTCAGGAGTAGAAATCCCCTGGCTCACATCTTCTCCTCATGCTGGTATTTCAGAGGAGTCTTCCTGTAAAACTTCCTTTCTCATATTCCTCTTTGTGAAGTGCTTATATAAAAAAAAAATAGAGAGGCTGCAAT